TGGTTTATCCTGGTCCTTACCAAAATTGATAGGATGGATGAAGCCTAGAAAACTCTGTTAAACTTCTGCCTTCCCCAAATTCTATTGTCCACTTGTTGCAGGACTTTTCTTTAGTTCAGCTCAAGACAGGTCCTTGTCCCATAGCCATGAAAGTTTAGGCTGGCAGATGGTTTGAACGGTGTGTAAAGCAGAGTTTTATTGGGTGAAAAGAAAAAAAAAAAAATCGAGGGAAAACAGGGGCTCTCCACAAGGCCAGAGTTCCTCTAGTGCTTCCCGCCTCGCAGTTTGAATCCCAGGTTCCACACAGGAAGAGAGGGCTCCAGGCTCCTCCCGGCTGCAAATGGCATGAACTTCTGTGGCTCCATTCCAGTGTGCACTCCGCCCTGTGTGCAGGTTGGTTCGAGTTTCTCTGGGGACCCTTACCACCTGGCTATCTAACATTCACTCAGTCACCTTATGACTCACCAGAGGCTTAAGGGGTGCTGGATCTGTGCTACCTCCCAGGGCCACCAAACCAAACCAGACCAATTGGCACTCATGGAACTCAAGATCCACTGTCTAAATAATAGATTGGGAAGTTAGAAACTGTGATGTGTTTTAGAAAGCAGCAATGCCTGTCCTAACCTGATGTATCAGACTGGCCGCTTTCCCATCTATAATCTCCTCCCTGTGCTATAGAAAGTGAAACTGCAGAGCCCCTACACAGGCTCCAGGGCCACTCTCAGGTTTCAAGTCTTTCATAATCTCTGCATGTGACCTTGGGCAATTCACTGAGCCTCCATGTGCCTCAGTTTTGTCATTTGTAAGATGGGCACAATAAATAATATCCATCCTCTCATGTTACCATGAGGATTAATGAGTTAATGTATTTACCTGCTTAGAATAATAGCTGACATCTGGTGAGGATGAGTGAGTTGTTGTTACTTACTATTTTTACCCATGGAAATTACAGATTTTGACATTCATTTTAAAAAGAAAAATTCGGAGAAAAAATAAAAGCAGTTAAAAGGCAATGACTTAAAGCATACAATTTTGGAACTAAGAGAACCCTAGATACTATCTGATCCAAACTTTTCATTTTCCAAATCAAACACAGAAACTATTTGTTTTGTGCTGAATGTGCTCAGTAAGTTAGCAGCAGGACCCAGCTGGGATAAAAACATGTCTATGGCTGGGTCAATGGGCTTCCTGCTGCACTGCAGCCTCACTCTATAGAATCTCCTTCCAGAATCCAAGTGAGGAATTTATTTGAAAACCACCAAGGAAAGTCAGAATAGACCAGGTTTACAGCATGTACATTCTGATGGGATAACTTCCTTATTTTTCTCTCCTGTAACTTATTTTTTTTTTAAGTTTTCTACCTCCAAAGTAAAGCAGGAAGAATTACTCCTTATCAGCTGTTCCAAGTGTGAAGAGACACTAAATTGTCTACAAACATCTTCTAATCCTCAGCCTACAGAAAAAAGGGCCATCTAAGTTATTAATCCTCAAAGTGGTTACCCCCCACAGCTCACTAAATTGTCAAAAGCCTATCAATGTCACAAAATAGACATTCCTGTTTTTGCCCATTGGGTTCAACAGGTTCTTCAACTGTTAGGAATGGCCTTTAGAAAAATCTCTCAAACACCAGGACACACATAAAAGCAATTACACCAAGCAAATAGTTGGAATTAGATGTTCTAGTTCTCATTCTGGCCATTTACAAGAGAATTCTAAATAAAATGGGCATGCATCTACACAAAGAAGATTGGGAGATGCATCAGAATTCCCTCCAGGGCCCAGAAAGCTCTGCCCTTTAAAAGTCAGAGAAACTCTTTTGCTTCAAAGGAAATAAAAGTTTATTCGTGTGTACCTAGAGGCAGAAGTCTGAGGGAAAGGAATTAATATGTGTAGGTGTGGCTTTCCTGCATTCTGATTACTAAAATAAGCTTGGGGCTGAATGGAAATCTAGCTCTTGTCCCAGGTATACATATCTTGAGGGATTTACACCCACCATTTTCAGGGTACAGTCAGCCTCTGCTTCCCAGACCATTGCCAAGGCATCCTTTGGTGTCTGGGCACACACTAGTCAATGGCTTTGTTCTCCCTCCCCAGCCAAATCCAGTCTCACTCATTCCTATTTATTTTCCAAGATGGAGTAGAGGTTTCACTTCTTCTAAGTCATGTTTTCTGACTCTCAATGGAGCAGGCTGGGGATGCTCCAGTGTGAGGCTCTGCTCTCCCCTCTGTGCCTTCATTGCCTGTCTGCCCCTCTGAGCAGCAAAACTGCTGGTGCATAGGATCTGAGTCCTTACTCTCCGTCTCCCTGGCACCAAGCATTAGTCCTGTGGCATAACGAGTCTTCAGTGGATATTTCGTGAAGTTTTTAATTAATTAATTAAAGCCCAGCCTTTTCTGCCATCTGGCAGAGCATATGCACGTGAAGCCGACTTTTATTACCCACTGAAGAAAGAATATTAGAATGGGAGTGAGGGTGTTTCCAGTGGAATATGTACAGGTTTTTGGCATGTTGAACAAAGAATTGAACAAAATACACAAACAAAGGAAACAATGAAGCAACAAAAGCAGAGATTTATTGAAAATGAAAGTATACTCCTCAGGTGTGAGCAGTTCTGAGCATAGGGGCTCAAGAGCCTGGCTATATAATTTTCTGGGGGTTAAATACCGTCTAGAGGTTTCCATTGGTTACTTGGTGTACACTCTTATGTAAAGGAATAGGATGAAGTAAAGTTACAAAGTCATTTACTTGGCGTATGCCCTAGGAAAATGGAGAGTATATTTCCTGTCATTGCTGAAGTGTTTTCATTTGATTTAGTTCTAGGAAGTCAGCATGAATTGGCCTTATATTCCCTGACTCCAGACCCTATTCTCCTGCCTCAAGGGAGCACCACATCCTAAGGATAACACTTAAATCTACTTCATTACATATTAAACAGAGATGAGTCAGACCAGAAAGAACACTAGCAGATGAGGTTTCGAGCAAATCAGAGCCAGCAGAGAACTGTTCTGCAAGACACATAGAATTATCACTTTATTTATACTGCTTTTGGATGAATAGACTAAAATTCTTCAACTTAAAATTATACTATGAGGCTATAGTTACCAAAATAGTTTGATACCAGCATAAAAGTAGACACACTTGACTAATAGAATGGAATAGAGAACACAGAAATAAAGCCAAATACTTCCAACCAAGTAATCTTTGACAAAGCACACAGAAACATAAATTAGGGAAAGGACACCCTATTCAATACATGGTTCTGGTAAAACTGGATAGCCACATGCAGAAGAATGAAATTGGATCACCATCTCTCACCATATAAAAAAAATCAACTCAAAAATAGATTAAAGACTTAAATCTAAGACCTGAAACCATAAAATTCTAGAAGAAAACCTAGAATAAACACTTCTGGATTGGCCTAGGCAAAGAATTTATGACTGAGATCCAAAAAAACAAATGCAAGCAAAACAAAAATAAATAAATGGAACCTAATTAAGCTAAGAAGCTTCTGCACAGCAAAAGAAATAATCACCATAGTAAATAGACACCCCACGGAACAGGAAAAAATATTTGCAAACTCTGTACCTGACAAAAGACTAATATCCAGAATCTACAAGGAACTCAAGCAAATTAGCAAGAAAACAAAACCAAATAATATCATCAATAAGTGGCAAATGACATGAATAGACATTTCCTAAAGGGGGACATACAAGTATTCGACAAATATATGAAAAGAAAATACTCAACATCATTAAGCATCATGAAAATGCAAATTAAAGCCACAATGAGATACCATCTTAACCCAGTGAGAATGGCCATTATTAAAAAATCAAAAAACAATAGATGTTGGCATGGCTGTGGTCAAGGGAGAATGCTTATACACTGATGGTGAGAATGTAAAGTAGTGCAATCTCTATAGGAAACAGTATGGAGATTTCTCATAAAACTAAAGGTAGATCCACCATTCAATCCAGCAATCTCACTACTGGATATCTACTCAAAGGGAAAGAAGTCATTGTATCAAAAAGATAGCTGTATGTGTATGTTTATCACAGCACAATTCACAATAGCAAAGATCTGGAACCAACCTAAGTGCCCATCAACCAATGAGTGGACTAAAAAAATGTGGCATATATACACCAACGAATACTACTATTCAGCCATAAAAAAGGAGAACATAAGGTATTTTGCAACAACTTGGATGGAGCAGGAGGCCATGATTCTAAGTGAAGTAATTTAGGAATAGAAAACCAAATACTATATGTTCTCACTTGTAAGTGTGAGCTAAGCCATGAATGCGCAAAGGCACACAGAGCGGTATAATGGACACTGGAGACTCAGAAGGGGGAGGGGTGGGAGGAGGTTAAGGGATTAAAAACTACATATTGGGTATAACATACACCACTCGGGTGATGGGTGCACTAAAATCTCAGACATCATCACTACAACCAAAAACCATATAACCAAAATAATTCATGCATATAACCAAAACCACTTGTACACCAAAAGCTATCACAATAAAAAATATATGTTAAAAATATAAATAAATATATAAAGGCATATTTTAAAACTATTCTAACAAGTAGGAAATGACTTTTAAAACACCTCATATTAAATTACATTTTATAAGTTTTTTTAACCAATCTGTGATTGACTAACCAGTACCCAAGGATCAGGAGAAAGAAAGTGCTATGGAAAAAGATATATTCCCAATACACATGAAGACAAAAACATAACCGTGGCTCATGTAAACTGTAACAGCTGTAACAGCTACATCTCAATTTCTGACACCACATGCTTGCCAACGTTGCCTATGTTGATCATAGAGAGAGCTACAAGGGGTGAGAGAACCAACTCTTAAGAAAGCCATGTTAAATGCTGCTTTATAATAACACAAAACATCCATCCACCTACAGCAAATATATACAGGGTTCCCTCCAAGTGCTGCCAACTACCAAACACAGAGAAGTAAGATATATTAAATTTAAGAACTACTTACCTTGTCCATTAAATCCATGTAGATGTATTTGGGAGCCCAGTCTACACTGTCTTCTTGCCTGAAATTAAAAAGTGACTGTTTATTCTTACTATAGATCCAGATGACAGTCCTAGTTCCCAGCAGAGCAACAGGAGCTGAATAAAATTGCTTGAGGAATTAATACCAAGAGAAATTTTACAAGATAAAATGTAAGCTTGAAATAAATGTTATGTCTTTGTGGCATGATCATTAAAATGATGATTTTTACATAGACCATTAAGTGCACCTAATGAACACACATGTGAGAGGATGCACCTGTGCAAAGTCCTCCCTCAAAGTCAAGTATGTGCAGAGAATATCTACTAGGAGACACAAGACTCCCTTCCGAAAAAAAACAGATGTCACCACAGGGCTTCAGAAGCAATGCTGGCAATAAGAGACGGTGTTTTTACAGACCAAATGCTGTGTGTTGTAACAGAATTTTTAAATACATGTTTTTATCGTGAAGATCGGTAGCGATGGTGTCTCCAATAGTAATTCAGTCTTTCGAAACTCATATACTTCATGGTCAATTCTACTGTCATGCATTTGCTTATCACTCTTTGCAAGGGTTGTGGATCACAGCCTTCTCCTCCATGCACAGTCCTGCACCACTCATGAAGAGCTGGTCAGAGGGCCTGCGGGCCGGGGTTCTACTCTGGCACCCACACTGCATTGGAGTGCAGCAGATTTCTGCACTGAGCACCTCCTAGTGATGGAGATAAAGAGTGAGGCACCTCGGCCCTGGTAGTCTACTGGAAAAACATGTACTGGAAGCGCCTGGGGTGTCTGAAACAGAAGTTTGCATTCAAAATGAATACTGGCAAGGGATGAAGATGATTAAAAATGTCAAATATGAAAACTAGAGTCATCTTTACTGGTACTGTTATAAAACTGGTCTCTCATTAAAGTCAGAGCAACATGTATCCATGTCTTAAGTCTAAAAGAGAGTCCCAGGAGAGGATTCATCTAACTCATGGTTGCAATAATTTTGGAGAATGTCAGGGCCTCACTTTCATTTGTTTCCAGGTGAGGTGAATCATTAAAACGATTCTTTTTCACAATGATGACTCCTCTAGGACCCCCCACCCACCTCCTGCCACCATCCTCCAAGCTCATGTGAGAAGTTTGAATAGCATAGCAGTGACTAGATTTCCCTAAATGGGAGCTACTGACTCATGGACAACTGATGAGAACCCTGTCATCTCAGTCTTCTGTGTAAAAATATCATACATCTCAAAAAAGACATCTGTTGAAACATATTTAAAATATAATAGAACTACTCGGTAGGAAAAGGCTACTTTCCTACAATATTATCATTACTAAATTTTTCAAGATAATTTACTTTTTTGGTTTTGGTTTTGATTTGATCAAGATGGGCAACAAGGTCACTCATTTAGTATTCAGATTTCTGATGACTGGAGAGAGATAACATTTTTATCTTTCATATCTGTTTCTATGTGTTTTATGAATGCCCATTCATATCCTTTGTCAATTATTTATTTGTTGCTTTTGCTGCTTTTTTCTGTATCAATTTTTAGAACCCTTTGTTAGGTGCATGTAATAAATACTTCCTCCCAATTTGTTCCTTCACTTTCTTTGTTTGACTGTGTTATTGATTCTAGAAAATATAATTTTATTGAGTGAAATTTGTTATGCCATTTATGCTTTTTAATCTTTTGCTTTCACTGTTTAGGTATATATTTGTTAATTGTACCAAGTTTATAAATAATATTGTCTTCTAGTATCTAATGCATCTTTAAAATATTTGTATGCTGTTAGGTGTATATTTTTTCCATTGGAATATGGAATTACTGCAATACTTTTATTGAACAGTAGATATACTATGAGACCATGCAGAGATCTCATACATATATTAAAAATTTTGGTCTTTACATCCTACAAGCCCTGAAAAATCATTTAAAGTTTTTATTAGAAGAAAGACATGATGAAATTTGCTTTTAAATCTAAAATACCATCCTCCATGGAGTGCAGAAAACAGATTACAGGATTAGGAACACATGTGTTGTTAGGCTGGACTCTCTCCATGTTTCTCTTTGGCATTATATGCCATCATTCTAAGATGAGAGTCTCAAAAACTGGCTTTTTTTCTTTCATATGCATTACATGAAGTTAACCAAAAGTTACATTCTGTGGAGACATTTCAGAAAACGCCATTAAATTTTCCAAAAATGCAAAGAACAGTTTTGAATTTGTAAGATGTCAGACATCCCAAAAGGCTAACAAGTAAAGACAAATTTAAAATTGGGTCCCATATCCAATAAGGATGTCTGTATTCTGTGTCTAATGCTTTTCAGGATTATGAGATTTTGAAAAAATGTACATGACAATTGCAAAGATCATACTGTGTTGCAGATAAATTTAGGAACTTTATGACCCAGGTGATTGACATGTATATGTATATTTTATACATATACATATGTGTACATATTTTTCAAAATATATGTTTGCTAAAACTAAGAATTTAAGTAAAGGGCATTTGCTGAAAGGATGGGGGTTGTGTGGGTGAACAAAGTTAGTGTTCTCATTAGTTTCAATTCAAAATGGCTTTGTTAATTCTCCAACACACATTCTCCCATTTGGTCAATTATGAAGTGCTGTTCTCTTTATTGCTGTATATCATCCCAAAACTAAGAGAATTAAAACAACAATTTATGATTGCCTCTCACAGTTCTGGAAGTTTATAGTTCAATTGGACATTTCCCTCTTGGATTCCTCCATCAGTTACAGGCAGACTGGGGCTGAGGCTGGAAACATCTTAAGGCTTCTTCAACCATGTGCCTGACATCTGGACTGAGAGGGCTGGAAAAGCTGGGGTAGATCAGGCAGGCACCTTCTCCACGTGGCCAATTTGAGATTCCTCAAACCATGGTGGTCTCAAGGTAGTTAGGCTTCTCATTTGGCACCTGGATTTTTACAGACGGAGAGGTCTGAAAAATCAAGGCAGATGTTCTACAGGGTCACAGAAGCTTCCTATAACTTAGTCTTAGAAGTCACACAGCATTGCCACCACCACATTCTCTTGGTTACATAGAGCTCGTCCAAATTAGCGTGGAGGGCACTACCAGGAGGCATGGTTAATTGGTGCCACCTGGGAGCCTGGCTAATGAGAGGTTTTATTGATGTACTAGAGGGTAGTGGAGGCAAGAAAATGTGTCAGTAAGGCTGTCTAGGGGTGTCAGTCCTCATTCTTTTGAAGAGGGATATTTTTTACACAAGGGATCCTTGCTATGCTATGTCAGCAAGTGGACACCACATAGGAAGCTAGTTTAACTAAAGAGGGAATTCATTTTTTACATGTAACTACTAACATTTTGGGAGAAAGCAAGAAACAAGATAAGCACTGAGCATTGTTATTATGAATATTGTTATGAATATTATTATTTGATGGGAGTTTCATTCTTGTCACCCAGGCTGGAGTGCAGCAGCCATCTCAGCTTACCGCAACCTCCACCTCCCAGGTTTAAGCAACTCTCCTGTCTCAGCATCCTGAGTAGCTGGGATTACAGGTGCCCACCACCACGCCCAGCTAATTTTTTGTATTTTTAGTAGAGATGGGGTTTCATCATGTTGGCCAGGCTGGTCTTGAACTCCTGACCTCAGATGATCCACCCACCTCGGCCTCCCAAAGTGTGAGGATTACAGGCGTGAGCCACTTTGCCCAGCCAACATTGTTATTTTTTGTTTACAGTGACAGTAAATGACTAAATGCTTCTTCAAGTCAGCAGGTTACATTTAATAGTAGAAAAAGAATTTCAGGAACTGGTACTTACTGCCAGGAAATAAGGGGCCAGGCCAATGCTCAGAGCCTACCATACCCTTGAAGATTTCTGGCAATTAAGTGAACTCTTAATTTCTGGATTTGGAAACCAGAAATGCAACTTCGCCTTCTTTACAGACAAGGGGAACACTGTATCATCTGCTGCCTGGTGTCAAATGTCACAATGAGTGGTCTGTTCTCCCCTGTGACCTCGTTCTGTGGTCATAACTGGATACAGGGATCACTTTGGAATCCTCAAAACCCCTGAGGCCTTGTGTTAAACCCCACGTGTATTTAGAGTCTCACAACTACGAAGCCAAATGTCGAGAGAAAAAGACAGATACCAAAAAAATGGTCTCAAAGTACCTCCTTGTTTAAGTTGGCCGCCAGACGAATCAGTCCATCTCCAGCAGAACGGAAGCCGCCTTTTCAGGGAAGCGTGGCAGCTGCTGGCGAATACAAAGCAGCTCTGTGATGGTCGAAGCCAGGAAAGAAAAGCGCCCCCTCCGAGTGTCATCACAGGAAGGAAACCTCTGTGGGCAGCAGGAACAAGTGCAATCCCTGGAGGAGAGCCGAAGGTGCCCGAGGCCCCGAGAAGGGCAGCGTGCGAGGCTGTGTGTGTGACCTCAGCCATGGAAGGGCCACCTGCCACCGGGGGGCTCGGGTGTCGGGCCTGTGGCTGTGGAGGGAAAAGCGTAGGCCACTTGCTGGAGCTGGGAACGTGCAGTGATAAGCAGTAGGACAAGAGGACTGTGACAAACAGACACAGAAGGTAAAATCGACTGAGTACAGGCTGATCCACAGGACTGTATCCAGGGACAGGCCTCAGGGTGGATCTGGAAATGCAGGACGGGTTCATGAAATCCTCACAAACTTGCCACATATTCCAAGGAGGGTGCGGTTTACTTCATTGTTTGTGCTGGTCCTGAAAACCTGACATGATTTGTGTTTATAAATGGGTGTTTGCCCTTGACTATATCTTGGAGTAATTTAGCAAACAATAGATATTGGGGCAGGTCAGCGCGTCTCCACCTGAAAGTCAAAGCAAAGCCGCGAAGGCAGGACCAGCAGTTGCGGCTCCTGGTGAGAGATGACGGCTTGCTAGCAGCCCTCGCCGGCTCTGGGCGCCTCCTCGGCCTCGGGGTCCGCTCTGGCCGCGCCTGAGAAGCCCTTCAGCCCCGCCGCTGCGCCGTGGGGGCCCCTCTCTGGGACTGGTGGAGGCAGGAGCCGGCTCCCGGAAGTGTGGAGAGAGGCGCGGGCGGGAGCCAGGGCTGCGCGCAGCGCTCACGGGCCGCAGGGGCTGGGGTTCCAGGTGAGCGGAGCTCGGCAAGCCCCGCCCTTGGCGAGGCCGGCCAGTGCCTGCTGAGCTCGATCTGAGACTGAATCCCGTACGTGGACCGCCATTCCCGTGTTGGCCACCATAGCAGGTCTCTGTATCTTTCTCGCTTCCCCTCTTTTCCTCTTGATTGTCTGGGACGAGGTCTCTCTGGGCTGCCGAAGTGCCTGGACTAGGTGCCGCAAAGTCCCCCGGCCAGGGCCAGGGAGAGGTGAAGCCCGCTGGGCTTCTGGGAGGGGTGGGGACTTGGAGAACTTTTCTGTCTAGCTAAAGGATTGTAAACGCACCAATCAGCACTCTGTGTCTAGCTACAGGTTTGTAAATGCACCAATCAACACGCTGTCAAAATGAACCAATCAGCTCTCTGTAAGATGGACCAAAGCCAGAGACAAAGAGAATATAGCCTGTAATACTTTCAAATACATTTTAGTGTTCTTTCTGCCATTTTAGGTGTTTGAGATTTTCACTTCCACAGAAACAGCAATTGCAGCAGGTACTCTTGCCCTGAGATTGTCTTAGTGACTCAAAATAGAGACCCGGAAGGATTTTTAAAATCACTTAATTGAAGAATGCAGAGAGAGAGAGCCAGTGCCACAAATTAATGACACCTGTGGAACATTATGTTAATCACCTGTAGATGGTATAGCTTTATCTGCCTACACCAATATCCATGGGCATGCGCTAGTTTTTCTCCAGCCTCAAAAGACAGTCCAACATTCTCTGCTGTTTGGTGTGTGCTGCAAATAATTGAGGAGAGAAGACCAAACCCAAGATTCTACAATTAGCACTGGAGTATTTTTTATTATTAGTTTAAGTAAGTTCAGATCACGAAAATTCCTGTATTACTTTCGGACAACCGTGTTTTTTATCCAGTGAGAAATGTATCTCTTTCAACAAAGCTGAGAACAAACATTTCAGTTAAAGTGTCTTTGATTTTTTTCATTCATTAAAGAGAAAGCAGCTTGTTAGCTCTGAGCAAATGCTGAAACTAATCAATAAATATTTTAAGAGAAAAAAAAGTCAGACTTCCAAAGTGGTATATTCAGGATTCATGAGATCTAGATAAAACTAAGTGATTTTAGTGAAAGCTAGGGCTAAATTTTAAAATGTGTGTTCTGACATGGTGGAAAAGATTTTGGTTATTGAAAGTTTGGAAAATGTAAGTACAGCCAGTGTTACCCTACCAATACAAGAGCTAGAAAAATTGTTTTAAAATCTACAAAATAAGCAAATTGATTATTAATAAATTATAAATTAAACTATTATTTTTACATATCTAAATAGGGATATATTTATTTAAATAGAATTAAAAATAAGAGTATTTATTATATTGCTTAAATTAAGCACAACTATTTTAGTTTTGTTTTCACCGGTCCCATATTGTTTTGCACAACTTGATATTCGCTCTTTATTCTGAAAAAAGTAACTGATTTTGAAGGCTTCAGAAGACTAGTTCAGAAAACTCTTGCCTATACTCAGAAAACCATTGTCTCTGAGGTAAATTTACTACTCCCAAGCATACCCCTTCTTGCTGCTGCATTTTAAGCCAAAATATAAGGTTGCTTAGTAGAAGGTGAACTGTACTGCTTAGATATTCCAATTGCTCTGTAACAAAAAAGAATGAAATAAATGTAGGTATTATAGTTGTTTTATTATTGCTGCCATGGCAGATTACCACACACTTGGAGGCTTAAAACAACAAATTTATTATTTCATAATTTTATAGAGCAGAAATCCAGGTAGCTTGGTTGATGTTTGTGTTCCTGGTCTCACAAGTCTGAAATCAAGATGTCTACAGACCTGTGTTCCATCCTCGAGGCGGAGGAGCATCCACTCGTAAGCTTATTCTGGTTGTTGGCAGGAATCACTTCCAGGTGGATGTAGCACTGAGGTCCCCATTTCCTTCCTAGCTTTTTGAGAGATGTTCTAAGCTTCTAAAGGACACCTCAATTCCTTGGTTCATCACCTCCCTCCTCTTCAAAGCCAAATTCAAGTCTCTCTCACGTTTCAAATTTCACAATATTCTTGTGTGCCTTATTTCTGTGCTTCTGCTGGAGAAAGTTCTCTGCTTTTAGGGGCTCATGCGATCTGAGCCTGGTTAATCTAAGCTAAATCTCCCCATCCATAAATTTAATGATACCTGGTAAAGCCCTTTTGCCATGTAATGGAGCAAATTCACAGGTTTCAGGAACCAGGGCATGAACATCTTTGGGGAGCTGTTACTTTTTCTAACTGGAACTATTTTAAAGTAATGCAGAAGGTCTAGCAATTGTCCCCATATAATCACCTGCCATTCTGAAATGAAACACTAGAACTTTGAGTTTAAATTATTGGGAATTAGTTAATACTGAGTTATACTGTTTAAATATTTTGGTAAGGCGATATCTCTCATGTTGGCACCATTTCCTTAGGTTTCTTACTCCACACGTGCATATTGTCTATATTTGTATTCTATGTAAAATACTGTATATACTTATAATTAGCATATGTTTATATGAGTGTGCATACTAAGGGTGTGAATTAATGGTCACTGAAAATTTACCTGTATTAAGTATTTAAATTTCTCATGATTCTTTATCCTTTTTACTGCTCTTTGATATTTGCTGATGGTCTTTTGTTTATTACCTAAGTCATTAGTAAAACTGTTAAAGGTAGTTTCCTTGGGGGAAACGTACCTGTATTACACACATGAAAAAAGGTTTGCTCTTTTCTATCTATTTTCCCCTGTAACGTAATGGACTATCTTAGAACTCTTACGCAATGTAATACCTTCGCTCTCAACCCAAATTCTACAATTACTCAATTGAAAGGGAAAATGAAAGATGATAATGATTTGTATTTGATTTATAGTGCCATCCACTTTTTTAAAGGCACAAACGTTTTGTATTCCTATTTACAAGCAATTTTTTGTTGCTCGAAAATTTGTCACAGTTACCATCAGAGAAGAGAAAACTTGCCTCATTCAGGCCTACTTTCTAAAGAAGGCAGTGAAATTCAGGTCACAATACTACCTCTACCTATATGCTTCTTAGAAATACATATTTAACCTTCCAGTTGCAAACTGGGTTGATTCCTTTTTAAAAACCACTTAAGGAGGGAATTCTTGATATATAAAAAATGGCACACATTTAACGTGTACAACTTGGTGAATTTGGAGACAAATATACACCCATGAAACCGCAGCTACAATCTTTACCATAAGCATACCCATTACCTCCGAAAGCTTCCTCCTGCCTTCTCTATTATTATTTCTTTTGTCCTCATAGATCCACCTGCTGAGAGAGCCTGACAGCTGCCCCAACCATCCATGGGTTGATTTCTAAGAAGCATATTGGAATATGGTCCTGCAGACGATAGACAGTTGCAAAATCAGGGCCTGATGTTAATCCCTGCTGCTTCAGAAATCTTCATTCCAAATCAATGAAAAAAGAGAGCAAACCCCCAAAAGACCTGCACTTCATAGAATGGCTTTGGCTTTTATCAAGCCACAGAGAAAATATATCAAAACCCTTAAGAATCCAAGCAATTTTTTTGTTGCTCTAAAATTTGTCACAGTTAACATCAGAGAAGAGAAAACTTGCCTCGTTCAGGCCTACTTTCTAAAGAAAGCAGTGAAATTCAGGTCACAATACTACCTATACCAGCTATATTCTTTTATTCTTTTTCTTTAAAAAAAGTAAATTCTATTTTCACAACAGCTTGTAATTTATGGTCAAAATAAAATGCTGATTTTTAACTCATTTCCTGTAGAACGTTTCTAATGTAAGATAAATTCAGAGAAAAACACACTGAAATTAATCTATTCTAATCCATCTCTTAGCAAAAGCAAAGATTTGGCAAAAAGGAAAGTACAGTGCTAAATGTTAAATGAAAAAAAAAATCACAACAGAAATGACAGAAAGGAAATATTAAATACAAGACAATCTGCCCTGAGCAAATATCGTATAAAAAATCATGATGTCATGATTTTATAGCATTTCCATTATCAATTGTAAAACTCTTCTCTTAATTGCCTTTAATATTTTAAAAGGAGTTTAAAACTTCAGGCAAAGTGGAGAGGAAATCCCACAAATAGAGTCTCATGACATTGACTTTGGTGCCAGAACTGGCATCAGGGACTCAGCCTCATTGTTTATGCAATGAATCAGATGCTACTCTTCCTTTATCCAAGTGCATGACAACCACCATAGGTGGGTGACATCACCCAGGGTAGGCTGAGGGTGGAGCCTACATTTGGTAGACATATCTCCTGAGGCTCCTTTGGCTGTGACATTTTCTCAGCTTTGCCTTGTTTTTAACGACTTTCACAGTTTTGAGGAACACTGGTCAGGTATATGGTAAAATCCCTCTCCACTGGGACTTGACTGATGTTTTACTTTTGATTAGATTGAAGTTGTGGGTTTGGGGAAGGAAGACTACAAAAATGAAATGCCATTTTCATCACATCTTATCAAGGGTCCTTCCTTCCTTCCTTCCTTCCCTCCTTCCCTCCTTCCCTCCTTCCCTCCTTCCCTCCTTCCCTCCTTCCCTCCTTCCTTCCTTCCTTCCTTCCTTCCTTCCTTCCTTCCTTCTTTCCTTCCCTCCCTTTTTGCAATGGAGTCTCACTCTGTCACCCAGGCTGGAGTGCAGTGGCTCCATCTTGGCTCACTGCAACTTCCACCTCCTGAGTTCAAGCGATTCTCCTGCCTTAGCCTCCCGAGTAGGTGGGATTACAGGCACCTGGCACCACACCCAACTAATTTTTGTATTTTTAGTAGAGATGGGGTTTCACCATGTTGGCCAGGCTGGTCTTGAACTCCTGAAGTGTTAGGATTCCAGGTGTGAGCCACCACCCCCAGCCAAGGGTACATACTATGAACCTAACCAATTGCTATTGATGTTGACTTTGATCACCTGAATGAGGTAATTTTTAACATAGATATAATGCTAAGGTATATTAAATAACTTTAAATATGATAGATGTATCTTAAAGGCAAAGTGAAATCACACATATTTTATGACTTTCAAGAGTGCTGAGTCTCTAGATGATCTCAATATTAGGAGCTATAAACTGCTTGAGAATAGATTCACTTAGAGAAAAAAAAATCCATAAATGTTTCATCCAATCTAAGAACTTATATTTTCCACAAAGGTCCTATCACAGGAGAGTTCTCGTTGGTCTGTGAAATACTTCGAGGTGGGTGTGGAGTGTAGTTTATCAGTGATGTCAGGGGTGACTTATATACTCAACAGAAACAAGGATTTTGAGAGCCTAAGCACTATTCATGAGAAAAG